CACCCCCCTCCCGGCCTCCTCCTAGGCCTTCTGTCTAGAACCCAAAGTTCCTGCTCTGGGCTCTCTCAAAAAACGTTAGGGAGGAGGCTCCTCTGTGGTGGTAGAACAAGTCTTTCCAGTTAAAGGAGGCTTCTGCTTTGGAAACGAGTGGTGACAAAGCCCACTAGTGTTCGCACACTTTAAAAATTGGTTTGTCATGCATGCCAGTATGCCAACAATTGCGATCAGCAGAAAGAAATTGAAATTTTGTCCTGTCTGAAAACATGATGAGGCAACTATAGTCACAGTTATAGCCAGCCAGCCATCACCTCTAGAAGGTTCCAGAGACAGTGAAACTGCTGAGATGCTCCAAGCGGGATTGTGTCTCATGGAGACCAATAAGAAATCATTTCTCTGAGGGTGAAATGCAGAGTCGGATAAGAAATAACATTGCTGAGTTTCTAAATGCTGCTTTCCTCCTCCACTCCAACTCCATCATTTAACCTTGGACCCTTGGCCTAGGAACCAAGGAATCCTCACCCCTGTGCACCACCCAGGAAGGTGGAAACCCTTTGCCTACAATTTGGGGGAAAGCTCGGAGTAGCCGTTGTGGCAAGAAACTCAACATCTGACAGATATCCAAAAGCATGTCTTACTGGGATTTTCAGAGGAGTTAAAACACGCCATAGTTTCCTTCCAAATTCTCCCAGTTTCCAAGTGAGGAAAAGAGCAGGTGTTTACTGATGGAAAAAGGTACGTTGCCATGTTGCTGTGTAAGTGAAATCAGGTGTGGGCATTGACAAGGGGCATGCTGATGGGAGCATCAGACAGTTTCTAAAACCCACAGGCCATCAGCAGCTTGGGGTGGCTGGCTTTGGCCCGATGTGGTCCCCTAAATCAACAGACAACACATTGTCGACGAGCAACCTGTTAATGAAACTCAAGATTGGCTTTGGTTTAAATCACTTGAATATGAAGAAGTAATTGATCCCGTTTTCTATAGACAAATGTGAGTTGATCTTCCCAAAATGGCACCACTAGCACCTACCACACAATTTCACTGGTTTTATTTTTCTTTCTTGGTAAAGCTATGCACCAGAGACTTCTAGATAGAGCTGAGAGACAATGGTCCTGACATAATAAGGAAACTATCCCCAGGTTCTTTGATTAACCCCCAAAAAGGCACTTATGTGGATGCAAATAGGTTCCTCCTTGGCTTTTCAACATATGACTTATTTTCAGCTGTTGATCCAAATGAAATATACCAGAAATGCTCTGCCTGAAATTCCCACCATGCCTGGGCTCATTCCATTGCTCCAAGTCTTTCCGAATCTGTTTTGAACAGTAAGCCCCATACGCACTTTCTAAACATTGGGCCTCATCACCCAGGGGTGAAAACGGAGCCCATTGTCCAGGACCTCCTGCACCAGCCTGTTCAAAATTATCTCCCCCTCCAGCTTTCTACAGATCTTAAAATTCCTCTCCCAAACTCCTTAAATATTTTCAGGAACAAAGCAGAATATAAATATAAACTTAGTGCTTTGGGCTCTGGTCTCCAAAGATCCTCCAAGAACACATCAAGCCAAACTCATTCTTTCACTTTACTCAGAACAGGGACTTAAGGCCTGGCATGCATTCCATAAACACCAATTCTTATAGCCACGACAGACATTGCTAATCAATCACAGCACTATTTCCCGTAGAGCCTACTGATTTCTTCACAATCCTCAAATCACAATTCCAAAGAGCCACCACTCATCAGTCAGAATTGAGAGAGAGATGAGCCCTCTTTGCCATCCCTACGTAGAAAACAAAAACAAACAGGGATTGCATGGGGTAATGAGGAAACCCTTAGGCATAAAAGGTACAGTCAGGGGAAAATAGATCTAGGCCCAGTGCCTAGACTACAGGCACTAAATGTGCAGTGTCAATGCCAAACTGACACTTCTCCAAGCGTACCTCAGACTCAGCCCTTCTCCCAGCCTCCCACTCCCAGAGGATCCCCTAGCTTCTCATAGAGCTAAAATCGGAGATGGTTTCCAAGACTTATGAAAGCATCCTCCCTCCCCTAACCCCCAAGCTGGCCTGTATTGTCTATTTTTAGAATACTAGGCTTCTTCTTTAGTATAGTCCTTCATGAAGTGGGGGCCAGGATGTCTCGGCCACCTGCAGTGACGTTGCTGGACTCCAGAAAACCATTCCATAGAAGAATGGGTCCCCCAGGCTCACCGTGTAGAGATGCTGAGCCCATGACAACTGTTTTGACTGCTGGCAGTACAAAACAGTCCACCCCACACCACTGCCACATAACTCACTGCAGCCATGAGAAAGTTCAAGCCAAGATGCTGACATTGTTGTGAAAAAAGACGGTGGGCATCAGGTGCGAATGCAACACTCGGGATCCCAACAGCACATCCATCAGAAGCCCTGTGCAGTTTCTGAGATGTTGTTTCGGTGAACTTTTTGATGAAATAGGGAACTGCAAATATATGATGATTTTGAAGATTAGCAAGGTTTGTCCTTAAAACTGACTCATCATGTCATCCGTAATCACTTAGAATTACAGTTGAGAAGGAAAAACACCTATGCTGTATGAACAAGGCAATGTTTTAACAGTAGGCTATTACAGGCAGGAAAGTTCTTTAACTGGTTTATAAAATCTATCAATACTTGTGTCATTCCCTGTAAAAGGCAGCAGACATATGATTGTGATCAGGAAACTGCACAGAATTATTTTTTAAATCCCCAGGTTATTGCCTTCGTGAAGTCTTTTTTATAATAAAACCCAACTTTTTGTTGTATATATTCGTATTCCATGTGTTAGATGGAAGCACTTCCCATCCAGTGTGAATAAAAACAGTTGTAGTAAATTATTATGAAGCCAATGATATTTCATGGCAGGTTATTCTACCAAGCTGTGCTTGTTGGTTTTTCCCATGACCGTATTGCTTCTATAAATGTACAAATAGTTACTGAAATGACGAGACCCTTGTTTGCACAGCATTAATAAGAACCTCGAGGGTCCTCTCTGTTAATGACCAGCCCACAAACAGTTCTGGCCTGGAGTTTGGCACATATTCCAGGGAGGCCCAAGGTCTCTCTTTTACCAAGGTCAAGAACAGAGCTGGAGGAAAAATTAACAACTAGCCTAGGATACTTGGCCATGGGTAACCTCGCTGTAACTATCAGGAGAATGGGCAGAGATGACCTCAAAATCTCATATACATTAAAGTCCAAACACTGTCAGATGAGGGAAAACCATCAAAAAAAATCAGAAAAAGTAATAATTATGAGATAAGGAGCAACAGTTTCAGCCCAATGCTAGCTCAATAAAAAGAATTAATGCTGTGTAAAATGGGTTGAATTAGTTTGCAACTATATAAAGATATATGCAGTAAAATGCCTGTTAATGCACACCAGATGGGGACGGGGCGTTATCGTCAATTGCCTTTTTTAGTTATCTGAGCTCTGCTATATTATCATACTTGGATAACCAATTTAAAAGAACTAGAATATGATTTTTTTTAAATACACTTAACATTAAACTCTTCTTCTAATTCTCTCTTCTTTCTGTGATAATTCAGAAGACAGTTACGGATTCTAGTACCTCTGAGTCATTGTTATAAAGAAAATCAGTTATCGCTGTACCATGCCATAGGAGGCCGGGCTAAACCTGTACAATGACAAACCCTGGAAGTTGCTTTTTTTAAAAAAATATATAATAAATTCCTAAAATCAACTCTTTTGATTTGATTGACTGGTTGTCTCTTTGTTATAAAAATAAAACATAGATTGTTCCAGTGTTTAACATCCTGGTCATAATAAAATGGCCATCGTTCTGCAAATGAAATGACATTTCTCAAATTAATTTCATTTGTGCCCTCCGCTAAACTCCTTACTGTCTTGATTACTCCCGTTTCTTCTTTAGCTGTCTGACACTCAAAATATTCTTTGTTTCCAGTAACAGTTTTAAATTTTAAAAAGTAGTCCATGCTAAATGAAAAATGAAAATGAAAAATGGAGACAGAGAAGCCCACAGAAGAAAGAGATCGTCTCATTTAGGATTGTGTCTAGCTGCCTGCAACAAGAAATGTGGCTATTACTGATTTGACTTACAGAGCGAGGATTCCGGAGGTTTGCAGCTGCTCAGGAAACCAGGCAGCGTCATAGATAGTGCTGCAGTAAATACCATCCTGTCTACGCACACTTCAAAATATGTCTATTATTTCTGCATTTCTGATACAAACCACTGTTCCTCATAGCAGCTTCAATTCAGCTCCTCCACTTACATTTTTTGGTAAGTAAAAGAGTCTCTTACCCGTTCCTGAATTTGTTTCTTTACAAGTCCTCATTAAGCCTTGAGTTTATCTTAATTGGAATAAAACCATCTGCAAACAGAAAATCATGCCACAATTTCTTTCCAAGATTTCATTAGTATTCCATTTTCATAGCATTTGGGGCACAAAGACATTTTTAAAAAAATAAAAAATAAACATTCTTAATCATTGAATTGAATGAGATAACAGGCTAGCAATTTGGAAGGGGGGGAAATAAGTTGGAGTCCTACATCACTCCTTACACCAAAATAAATTCCATCTGCATTTAAGTGTAATAAATAAACCAGAAACATACTAGCAGTGGAAAAAATGCTTACTGGATGGTGTGAAGAACTTTTAAACCCTGCATATTGTTTGCATTACCGACCAACTTTCTGATGAAATCCCTTCAACTACCCTGTGTCGTGCTCCGATGTATCCAGTTGGCTAAGCAAAGGAAGCCTTAGGGATGGGACTAAGATCATTGATCAGGAGCTGCCCGTGAACTTGAGCGGAAGATCCACAATTATTCATCACTAAATCTAACCTTCTGTCTTCGGAAAAATATGTTTCTCTCTGGAGTCTCACAGGCATATAGCAATCAGTATAATACTTTGTCCATCTAAATATATGGTAAACAAGTTCAACATTGCTTATAATTATCAAACATTTCGTAGAAGGCTATAAAGTTGGCATAGGCAAAATACATGGATTTTATTATGATTACAGTTGTATTGTGTTGGCTTGAAGTTATCATCCAATAACAATTTAGAAGCCTCATAATTCCACTAGGTATAATCTTCGATTCTTCTCCTTTTTACCCAACATTCAGATGTTCACTTAGTTATATAAATTCTTCCTGCTCTACTTAAGTTGGGAAAATTTTAAATTTTGGAGTTCAAATTGTGCAACATCTCCTTTACTGAGTTTTAAATATCGTTTCACAGTGTACTTATGAAGCAACAGCAGCAGTTAACAAAATGCCTGAGATGCCTGAGTCCCTGAACAGGTCAAAGCCAAGCTCTGTTCAAACATGTTCGATTAACTGCACACTCAGTACTTCAGTTGACACCCTCAGCTGGGAGTTTCTGGTAAATATTAACACAGACACCACTCCTAAAAGACATTTTCTTTTGTGTAATGATTTGCATTCTTGAAAAACATTTTAAAAGGACAAGAATTGTTGGGGATGAGTGCTAAGAGTACAGAAAACTTTTTATTTTCTCCTGAAAGAGAAGTCCTAAAGCAGGACTTTCTAAGTTGTGCTTCCCCCCTCCCCCCAGGAGCT